ACTCACCAAACTTAATAACCAGGCTACAGTCTACATTATAGACTACCAGTACACTCACCAAACTTAATAACCAGGCTACAGTCTACATTATAGACTACCAGTACACTCACCAAACTTAATAACCAGGCTACAGTCTACATTATAGACTGCCAGTACACTCACTCCGATTATGAACCAGGCTACAGTCTACATTAGTGTGTTTTTTTTATTATTTTTATTCACTTTATTTTTATTTTTCTATCTACGTGACTTTTGTTTTTATTGTTTTATATTTGTATTATTTAATTATTTCCCTTCTACGTGACTTTACCGAAAGAACCAAATAATAAGAGAGCCATGACTTTCACTATCCCAAGAATTTGGCGGGAACTCACTGACCACTAAAGCAACTGCTACCTCTGCATGGTGGATCCTTCCAAACGTTGGACTGGCAAGAATGCACCTGCATCCATCGCCCCGGTGCCACACTTCCATGAGCTCCCCATACCCACTCCTCCGGAGAGAGAGCAGCCATCTTTAGAAGAGAGCAGCAAGTCAGAGAGTGATGAAGATGTTGTAGATCCAGATGACAATTTCAGAGGTGGAGCTGAGGAGAGAAACTCATACTACCCCAACCAAAAAGACCTTAACGACTTGATCAGAGATCTTGGTCTCACAAATCGAATGCCAAGCTTTTGACGTCTAGGTTCAAGCAGTGGAACTTGTTGGATAAAAGTGTGCAAGTTGCAGAGGAAGCGTCACCAACATTTTTTCAGCTTCTTCACCCGTCAGGATGGGCTCTGCTTCTGCTACAATGTGACCAGTCTGTTCGCGGCAATCGAAATCACCTGTAACCAGAATGAGTGGCGCCTCTTCATTGACAGCTCATCCAGGAGCCTCAAAGCCGTGCTGCTCCATAATGGTAACAAGTACCCATCTCTTCCCCTGGCTCACTCGGTGCACCTCAAAGAGGATTACAACAGCATCAATACCTTGCTGGACGCCTTGACGTATGATGAGTACGGCTGGGAGGTCATCGGAGACTTAAAAATGGTGGCATTCCTGATGGGTCTCCAAGGCGGTTTTACCAAGTTTCCCTGCTATCTTTGCCTTTGGGACAGCAGGGACACCAAGGCGCACTACCACAGGCGGGACTGGCCACAGCGGAGCGAGTCCTCTGTGGGGAGGAACAACTTCAAGTGGGAGCCACTGGTGGACCCCCAGAAGGTGCTGATGCACCACTGCACATCAAATTGGGCCTTGTGAAACAATTTATCAGAGCTCTAGATAAGGAGTCAGCAGCCTTCAAGTACCTTCAAGACTTCTTCCCTGAGCTGTCTGAGGCAAAGGTCAAAGCCGGTGTCTTCGTCGGACCACAGATAAAGAAGATCCTGGAGTGCAATGAATTCCCCAAGAAGCTCACTAGTAAGGAGAAAGTGGCTTGGAACAGCTTTGTCGCAGTGGTTCGTGGCTTCCTAGGCAGTCACAAGGCCGGAAACTATGTGGAGCTAGTTGAGACTCTGGTGAAAAACTACGGCACAATGGGCTGTAGGATGTCCATCAAAGTCCATATCCTTGATGCTCATCTTGATAAATTCAAGGAGAACATGGGAGCATACTCGGAGGAGCAAGACGAGCACTTCCACCAGGATATACTGGACTTTGAACACCGCTATCAAGGACAGTATAACGAGAACATGATGGGAGACTACATTTGGGGGCTGATTCGTGAAAGTGATTTACAGTATAATCATAAATCTCGAAAAACTACTCACTTCTAAATATTTTGTAGTCATTTTTGTATTACTTTAGTATAAATACATGTTAATTTTGATTCATATGTTGTTTTTTTCTGACTTTACGTGAACGAAAATACACAAATTCGCCCGTTTTCACATTGAAAATAGGTAAATTTCAAAATATCACTGTCCTGGTCACAAAAGCAAAGTTTGTGGAGAATAATAGCCATTTTCTATACTTTTTAGGCATAAGCAATTACGAAACAACACTTACTACCCAGGAACAAAAATTGTGTTAAATAGCGTAATCAGTAGATTGATCGATACTATAGATAAGCACATATTCCATTGCCACGCATGCCCAGTTACCTTTTGTGTTGTTCAGTGCTGCCGTTACAGTCACGCCACAGCAAGGACTCATTTTAGGTTCCGTTTGCCAAGGTTTGGCTTACGCCAGGTCGAGAAACCAACCACCATTGAGTTGTCTGCGTTCATTCTATGAGTTGAATCGGCTTGGGCAGAATGTAGTACGCGGTGCAAACCACACACACACTCACACCGTACAGCATCAAAAAGCCAGAGAACACTCTGTATCTGTAGTGAGAATGGTAACATTCCATCCTGTCAGCTTATAAAATAAATACTCTAGGCGTTCACAGCGTATGCCTTGGCGGTCATATCAGATATTTGTCAACGCAAACTCACAACACGTTGCGATCATATTTTCATTAGCGACCGGGCCGATACCGTCAAACTGGCTACACCCAAGCATCCGTGTTTTATCTCAGGTATCTTAGTAGTACCGTGAGGCCAGACCAGACATCTCACTCATCAGTACCACCTGAGGTGGCGTAACTTTATCGGTTCCGACTTCCTTCATGTGTAAAATAGCAGTGAATTACATGATAACCACCTGAAACAAGTGGGTTAACCGAATAGCTCGCTCGTATTGGCCATGAGAATTAATCGGTACGACTAAAGTCGTACTACCTTAGGTGGTATCAATTGCTGCTTTGATCCATGGACAATCGATGGAATTGAAGGAAGAAATCACAGTGACACTGGCTTAGAGCTAACCTATGCCTATGATCAAACTACCCTCGGTGAACCTCAAAAGCGAAGAACAATGAGGCCATACTGGCTCGTACGTGGATACGAGATTTCCTGTTAACAGCAGGTGTCCAAGGGTTTAGGGGAGCGAAGTGGCCTGGGGATGGCAGTACAGCGTGGATTCTTGAAACTATCTGTGTGGAAACAATCAGTTTTTACCTCTTAATATGCATGGGTGATCTCAAGATTCCTAATCCCAAATCAAGCCAACCACTCATTTTGGGAACTGATCAAATGTCTCAATGCAGGACCCTCTTGCAAAAAAGATTTAAGACTCAGTGAGGTTTTCCTAGGTTAAGGGGATCATTAATATTATAATTAATGCTTGGACCGAACCATAGCGCTGCTGTTGGACATCTGTGAAAAAGAGCTTTATAGCTCATTAGATTCCTCCAGTATAAATATGATGATATTCTGAAAAGCCCTGGAGACACTTTATGATCTGATGAATCACTCAACTGAGAGCCCTGGGAACGAAAAAGAACTGGAACGTTTTATATTTGCTCCGTCTTATTGATACTTGCATAATGTTCTTCAATAAAAAATAATAATAATAATTTGGCCAAACATATCAAAGGCATAAATGTTTTTGTTTCATAGACGCACTTGCCAAATGCAGCATTTGCAAATCTCACCATAAGTGCCAACGAGTTCCACATTATTCAATGACTACGAGAGATGACTCAACAGGGAGCGGAGAACCGCCGCGAACCCACAAAGAGCTCGTTGTTGTGGAGAATGTAAAAAAAATTTGGTTCTTCGTGACTTTACGGAAAAACCCAAAGAATATGAATTCCTGCAGTCATGAAAGCTTTAAATCAAGATTTTACCGCCTCTACGGGGAGGGTTTCCACACAACTATTAGATCTTTGAACAAACTTCGAGACAAGAAGGCTCATCTGATCGAGTCGCTCACATTTCTGAAGAGATGCCGCGACACCAAAGTAATACCGATCACCTTCACATTGACATATGCTGCTGTCACTTCTCCCAATGCTAAACGGATCTTGTTCAGGGCCGGCCTAGCCCTGATCTCAGAGAGAATAAGATTGCTCCAATTTGAACTAGACAATTTAGACAAGACTCTCCTGAAATCACACTTAACATTGACGGAAAAAATGTCTACCTCTGATTGGGAACATGTAGATCACATGACAGCCTCTTCAGCCGCCTCAATGTCAGCTAAATGCAAAGATAACCTGATTCCTAAGTTCAACCTCCTTTCCAAGAAGAATCCAGATCCACACATTAAAAAGTTAGATGTTGACAAGATTGTTATCAATCAGGTACAGAGGTGCGTGGACAGACGGCTACGTGAAAGAGATATTCCGTCTGATTATTTATTTTGTCATCTCTGAAAGGTGTTCTCCCAATTAATGCAGACATCACGAGGTGTGCTCAAGTTGGCATATGCTCACGCATAGCGTGCCCTCACGCTCTTGCATATGTCTAGATGAATGGCAACGTAGAAGTCTATGTCCAGGTTCGTAAACCAGGAAATTGTTTCGTTTGATGTGTGGTGAATTGCTTCAATTCCTCTGTTGATCTTTAGGAGACCTGGATACACCGCGTTACATCAGGGGTGGTCTCGCCCCGACGTACACCTACTTACTTTAACAAAACCCCGTTATTTCCATGAAGCCCACATTTAGCCCATCCACGGCTTGCAATGTTCCCTTTATATATTGCGGTTTTATATCTGATGAGAACGTGAAAAGCGATGGAACAAAAAAAAGTTGAAAAAGAAACCACTGAAACCACCCTTAATCGCAAGCCAGCTTTCAGAAGGCACAAAGAGAACTGCTGCAGGGGATGCTGTGGCGTGCAAGACTAAACAGGGGCGGCACCGGCGCGTGGGGTTTCTGTGCAGCGTAGATCCGCAGCTAACCGCATATCACCATTGCTCTGCACTAGGGGCTGTGAGTTTTGTGTTAAAAGTTCTCGGACTTTTTATGGGTCAATTTCGGATAACTTTTTGTATTTTTGGAGCCGCAGCTAACCGCAAGTCACCATTGCTCTGCTCGCTGAACCATTTTTCTCTACTTCGGGAGTGCAATTTGTGTTGTTTATTTTATTTTTATAGCTCTCTGAAAACCCCCAAGTCATTTTGTTATTTTGAGGAAACACTGTTCCATAGTTTGATTGGCGTGCATTGCATTATTAATCACTCACCAAATTTGCCATGTAGATGGTCAACAGGCCTCTCCTGCAAACATCACAAAAAGTATGAACACACTCGTAAACAAAATCAACAATATCAACACTTTAAAATAGACCACAATGACGCTGTGCATAATATGTATTGTGCGTGTGTGGGACTGATTGGGGAGCAGAAGAGTCGTGGTTAGTGCAATGCGCTACGAACCCGCCGCTCATGACCAATAACAGCGGCGAATATATGAACAGGTCCTGGGCATCCCTTAGGTCGACTCAGCCTTAAATGAGTACCTGGTGCAATGTGTAAACATCGGCACTGGGGAAAACAAAGGTGGCTGGGCGAGGTCCTGGCAACACCTCCTCGTGTGCCGTGCCGGCCTTTGTAGGGGCTTGCTAAGAGCACTTGCGTACACATTCTCTTCAATGCTATAGGAGGATCTTTGTCGATTGTGGAACTGATACGTTGTGCTCTGTTGGCAGAGCGACTAATGAATTAAGTTTCAGAACAAGGGCCATTGACATATAGTAACATTGTCCCCATCCCTCCGGGACCCTCCTGAAACAGAGACGTAGTGAGTATTTTTAGGGATAAATACATTTCATTGTATTGTTGTATTTAATGTATATGTCCAGAGGAAAAAAAAAATCTTTATTACACCTTTCCATTTTATTAAAATATATTTCCTTTACGGCAACAGTTGGAATGATAAAGATGGTACAAGACAGGACAGTACAGAAAAAAACTAAGAGCAAAAGATAAAAAATAAGTATAAAGGAGACGATACACATGAGACCAGGGGTCGCCAACCAACATAACAAGAAGAGTAATTTTTTCGAATTTGAAAAAAAACCCTCAATATTTCAAGAGCCGCAATGCACGTGAATATGAGACGGTGATCCTTAATAAATAACATCACGAAACAGCCCTTAAAAAGCCGCAGGCTGCCGATCCCCTGCACTAGATCGACAGCATAAACTAGACCTCCAAAAGAGACGTACCATACAAACAAGATGAACGGTACAAAATAATCATTACAAACGAGACAAAAAAATGTCATCTCGAATTCAACTGTGACCCCAAACCCACAATTCATTGAATCGCAGAAGAGCAGAGAGTGAATAGTCATGACATGACTAGCAGTTTGTGCAATGCCACCTATAGTGATGCCCTAGGTACCTGGGTTAAATAACCTAATATTGTCAGCCTTAACAGATGATCAATAACAGAATACAAGCAAGTAGGGCGGAACGAGCAAGCACTTTTGTAGCAAACTGTGATACATGTTCAGCCAACATGTGGCCCGAATTAAGCAGCATGCACGGCTAAAGTGTTTCCCTACCCTGCGTTAAGGTAAGAAATAAATAAAACGACTGTAAGAGCCCTCGGTTTAGCTTCACACAGACTCACAGCGTGCCCGTTGCTATGGGGCCCATTGCCAGAGCACATCGCTGAAGACTTTACTTATGATGATATGCATTACAAATATTGATGCTCGAACATAGGTTGTATGCTCACAAGGGAGATACAGTTTCCACTTTTCGTGGATTTGCCTTTCCTATAATATGTTTTTAATGCTATATTTACCACCGGGATCCCTCTGTAAAAGGAGAGATTCTGTTTCAAATGGGCTCTCGCACATTTGTCAGTTTTTTTTTTACTTTTCTCTAATGGTATCCCATCTGTGCTGATGGCACAAAGCCAAACGGTGGCAAGATGTTAACTATCTCGCCTGGTATACAGGAGGACGTGGGTTTGATCATGACAGTGACACCTGTATATTTGGAGTTTTCATGTTATCCCCGTGGTCACGTGGATTTTTCTCCGAGTCATCCAGTTTTTCCCCTCATCATTTAGAAACAGGCGCTTATAGTATCTGGCTGCTATACATTTCCACATGCTAAACCACTTCGTTGAGCTATCATTTGTGGCCAGGTCGCATCTGAAAAAGAGCTACATAGCTCAGTGGCCCTTACCTGGTAAGATAAAAAATAATTTTTAGTTTAGTTGTCATTAGAAAAATGACTAATGAACTGGAAGGTTTGTTGAACAGCTGCAGATGTGACATTCTACACATCTCCTATCGTCCTTCAAAGATGTAACTACACTCTGAGTGGTTTAAAGCTTTCACAAATCATATTATCATGAAATGTTGCGGTGAATTAGAGATAATAGAATTTAAATAGCATTAGAATTATCATACAGAAGCGTCCGTATTGCCCCAGCCTATGCTGCTGAGACTTTAGAAAGGCAAAATTGGTCCAGAGTTTGCCTGCTTGAACTAATGCTGCTGGGAAAATATTGGTGCAGAATGCTGGTAATGTTGATGGACTTCAATGTCAGTATTTCTATATCAGGGGACCCTGTTTGATGTCAGGAAAAAAATAAAAACGTCTTTCATGCTTAAATGAGCATCGAAGGTTACATTGACGGTGTGTATGATGTTACGAGTCCGCACAATCCCTCAATAATTTTTTTTTAAATAGAGCATCGAATTAGTGTTCATTACCTGGCTACAGCCCTGAGCCTGAAATTAAAATTTCTATGACTGGGGGAGAGGGGGGGGGGGGGGCAAAGTCTATCCATAGGACAACCACTGCTGACTTCTCTGCAAAGCAGTACTCCGTTTTAGCTTTAGCTTATAGTTTTATTTTATCAACCCCAGAAGGATAACAGCCTGGGTTGTGCTGTCGTCTGATGATGCTAGTTGTAATTACCGGCGAAAGCGTTGTACTCTAATGTAAATGTTGTGGGTTTACTCTCCAACACACTGGTGTGTTGAACTAGTAACGAATGGACATGTATTGTTTATGTGACAAACCTTAATAATTGGCTGTGTCGGGTGGTGGTGGGTTTAATGAGAAATGTATATTTACGTGATCTAACCCAAAAACCTCTCATGGATAATATTGGATCGCAATAGCCTATGTGTTAAACTGAGGATTTGAACTGTCGGGTAAAAGCTCAACATTTGAACCTGGGATTTCAAGTGTCTGCTCAGTGATTCAACTTTAAATGTCCTAAATGACGCAAAGACTCATCTTTCAATACTGTGTGTTCACCGTAAACTGTCCAGACAATAACTACACTGCCTGCACCAAAGATCACCTGCTTTTTCTTTCCAGGAGGATGGCGATGTAGGAGGCTGGCAGTGCCGCCCAGAAGCCACCCAGCCACGAGTTGAAGCCACCCATAAACTTTCTGTTACAACAGGGTTGGCACAGACCATGCAAATCATTAATTCACGTGTTCAAGTCAAATACAGTCAATTCTTAAGTCCCAATGGAGCATATCGCTCGGTTTGCAAACGCGCGTTATCGCAGCAGTGGGAACGATAAACCACAGTGACACAGAGGAGTCGTGTTACAACTTGAAACTTGGCTCAAGCGACTGTGGTTCAGGCAGTGACACGTGTAGAACGAGTGGTGACCTGTGACTTAATTTCAGGCAATCAAAAACAAATTGTTTTACACAGTGATGGCTACGCATCTTATCATGCGCACATCCCAACTCTGCTTCGTCGCTTTTCCTCACCGTATATACAAGTCGGCATGTCCAGCTTCGAAAGGAATTGGACAAAAATCCCAATGCAGAGGAGAACATATGGGTGACTGTTTTAAGCTTTTCAGGACCAATCATATATTTGCATCCCTTTGTCAACCCACTGCTGGATGAAAGCCTCCCCGTGTCAGTTATGGGGGATGTTTGACCATAATTGTCCACGGTAGTCACTGGGGGTCGATGAATGGGGTGCCCAGAACCAAAATCAAATCACATATGCACATATCCACTTGCCACGGATGCCGGAGCTGTGGTTCAACCCGATGGTTCAGTTCTTATGTAAGGGTCATGTCCACAAGTTTTGTCTTCACTTGTAATGCTTCTATGAGAAAAGCTGAAAACTAATAACAGCTATCACAGGCATTAATACTTCATTTCCTATGGGGGGGGGGGGGGTTATTCACTACATGGTGTACATGAGCCAAGTGCTGTTACACAAACTCATTTAGTAACCGCCCCCTTCTGGGGTGCAGCGGTGGCAAGATGTTAACTACCTCGCCTGGTATACAGGAGGTTGTCAGTTCTATCCCGACCATGACGCCTGTGTATTTGCTGCTATAAATTTCCACATAAGCCACTTCGTTCGGCTATCATTTGTGGCCAGGTGATTTCTGAAAAATACCTATATAGCTCAAGTGGGCCTTACACGGTAAGATAAAAAAACAATGTTAAGTTTAGTTTTTCTTCAAAAGTAGACCCGACCCTGCTTGCGTGCCATTTAAATGTTTCTGTGCCTCCGATTCTTGATTCTTGGGTTTCCCTCTCAGTTTCTTTAGTTCTTTCTCGCCACCAAGTTTTTTCAGTCGGAGGTCTCGCTCGCACGAACCCTTTGGGGTCGACACGCGCGTCCCCAACGCGCGTCCCGCGAGCGCTCACCGCAGAATACAGAAGAAGGCAATGTAGAGGCCGCCATTGGCGCTGAGGAAGGCCACCGACCGCGAGAGCTCCGGCAGCAGTCGGTACAGGTAGTAGTCGAGCTTACGCCTCCGCAGCAGCGCGGCGATCTGCGGGAGCGTGCGACGCGAAGGGGGCACTCAAGACACGGCAACTCACCGGGACGCTGCGACCGCTTACCACCACTACCACCCGTGTTTAGTTTGTTGTCCTTCCCCGCCCCCTGGCCAGCACTTCCGATTAGCACGGTTGGCTATGTATGGTGCGAAAGAAGTTTAACATACGTATGTACACACGAGCTGCAAGCGAGTAAGGTGCTGCCTTCGAGGGTCTGCAGTACAGCAAGCAGGATTCCTAACGATGTTGCGCAGCGGCACTTCGGTGCTCTACTCTCGTATGCGTTGGCATTTCTCCAGGAACTATCGGGTTCAACGTAGATGTAAAAATAGTGGAAATGTATGTTTAAACATCTTGAGCAGGTAGCCTCCTGAAAACGATTCTTGATTCTGGGACAAGATTAAACATTAGAATTGTAAACCAACTGTTCACTCAATTTCGTTTGCTAAAAATCATGATATTCATTGTCACATTCATCGACAACAGTCTATCCATGTGCTTCTAGAAGGTCATCCTACTCCGTCACCATCACTAACTGTCCAACAATACCACAATGCTCCTGCACACTCGCTGATCTGATCACTCTCTCTCTATGGCTGTCGTCTGGTTTGGCACATTCCCTTCTTTGGCTGCCAAACTTCAAAGAACACAAAACAACCTGGCACGCGTCGTCATTGGCCACAATCATCCGCGTCTCGACTCACTAGCCTGTCTCCGAGCCCTCAACTGGCTATTCATCGCCAGCAGGGTCATATACAAGATTGCCTGCCTCTACCACAATGCCTTCACATCTGCCTGCCCGCTGTACCTTTCTTCATTATTGACAACTTGCAGATCAGCACACGGCAAATGCCTTCGCAGCGCGACTCACGACCTCCTCTTGATACCAAGATCCAGGATGGTCGTGTCTATGCGCCGCTTCTCGGTGGCAGCCCTAACAGTCTGGAACGCTATCCCTCTGCACATTCGCAGCATCACCTCAATCGCCTCCTTCAAGAGAGACTTAAAAACTCACCTCTATAACCACGCTTTCGAGCGACTCTGAGCTTGGCTCCACGCCTCTGAGTTGCGGCCATTACGTCCGCAAATTTGCACGCGTTATAAATTGAATTATTATTATTCCATCACCAATCTCATCCATGAGCCACAATCCCTCCTCGAGATTGTGCCCATCCCTAGCACACTTACTCACGTCCGATAGTCAACACAAACGTTTCGAAGTTGTGCTTGTTGCCTCATCCATGTGCTTACCTTCTCTGGCTCTGCAATTATAAGCAGAACTGGTTCAAATTGTCACTTGCCACTGATGTTAGCCGTGGCTGGGATTCAAACCCAGCTTTACAAAGCTCATAGTGGTGTATATCATCTTCTTTCGAATAGCTGATATAGATGCAGAGCAACAGCACCAATTTCACTACCAAGTGGTCAAGCCAGATAACCACATCCAGAGCAGCAGATTGTGTGTTGCTGTGATGTCTCGGATTGTATATCAATACACCGCTACTGCACCCATTCACTTACATAGAACCATGAAAACACACAGGTATCTGGAAATTATGTTATGTACATGTACCCTTAACAACAGCAGTATGGCAATTGTGTATTACACTCTATCTCAAAATAATCCACAAGAAAAACAATTTTAATTCTGAGGTCTGCATCTGACCACAACTGAGATGCTCGGTTTAAAACCCCAGTTTCTGAACACAAGCTAAGCCCTCAAGAGCAGTGAATTTGACCGGTCTCTCTCTCTTTACAGACGCATTTCCCCACATCCTCGCGTTATTGCTTGCAGACACAATCCCCAAAAAGAGTAGAGGCTGCACATTTACACGGACGTAATGGAGCCGAATGCCATTGTTAGGCAAAAGCGTGTCACTTGTGTGCTGGTATTGGGGACAGATTAAAAGAATGGCTGACAACGTCTTTTTCATTGAATGAGATTTGTTTGACTCGATCAGTATTTAAATCCGAAAATCCATTACTACAGTCAGTCAGAAAACGAGGTGTAGAAATTATCTTCCATAATTTCCTAGAAAGTGGGGTAGATGTGTCTCGACTGGCCTGAATACTTGCCTTGATCAAATAAATCTAAGAATTGCAAAATTACTTGGCAGGCACCTGACCTCATTTTTTATGGAGCATCTTAAAATCTGGAGAATACGGACGAAATGCATAATTGGAGAAACCCACTTTACAGCATATTCTCCCACCTTAAATAAATGTAATGATAATAATTACAACAATTACACTGCACTTACCTCTAGACACATCACTTTAATGGCTATCATGAACATCGCTGGGCTCTCGCCAAGTAAATTAACACCGTTCATGTTCAGACAAAGAGGAGCTTTGAGTGTCGTGAGTAAACCAATTTCACCCAAGTGAATTGGGTGAGAGGGAAAGTTCATATGTGCACGCGTTTTATAACACACACACCCCAATAAGGTTACATAGCGCTTAACTCATTATGGCTCTTGCAGTTGGTGGGCAGGCCTCGGATAAATCACAAACCTCAACATCGAGACAAAGAGAGCAATTCTATTCTTGCTAATGGCAATATGTTCAGGAGCTAAATACCAATGTCATGGTCTTCTCGCCTCGAGAGGGCTTCAGTAAAGAGTTTGTGTAGTGTTGCATGTACTGATGTGGGTCATTGCTCCACCAGTGTCTTCGAGGAGGAATGACAAAGCTAGAAGGTGCAATGTTTGGGTCTCAAATGAGTTTATTCTGGACGTCTGCGTTGTTCCACTGATCGCCAGCGTTCTTCCGGCTAAGTCTCCTACACATGCCGCCAGTTCCCGTGGGCATCGAGGTTGTCATCCACTGGGCTCTCCAGGATATGGCAGTCGAGAATACACATTCCTGCGGCGGGAGCTAGTAGGAACGTTGGGTTGCTCGGTCAATGGCCAGGGTCAACGGCGTCGTGGTGTATTCAGCAAATATGCCCGACTGTGAGGGCGGGCACAAGCCGGCGTGAGTAGGTTAAACGTTGAGTTTTATAAGGGCACCACGGGGTGACCAGCCCCTCCCCACCCCTCCCCACCCAGCCCCTCCCCACCCCTCCCCACCCAGCCCCTCCCCACCCTCCCCACCCAGCCCTCCCATTTTTGGATGCACGACGGACGGACACAATAATCCCCTGTGGGCTGGTGTAACCAGGAGGTTCCTACCAGTAAAATGTTGACTCCACCTGTTCCATCTGATGGGATAGAGTGTTTCCCCCCCCCCCCATCGCACACGCATGGGTTTACTCCGGGTGTATCAGTTTCCTGCAATGTCTAAACACTGCGGAGCTTGGGAAATTGTTGGCGTCAGCTCCTCACAGCGGTGGCTGCTGCTGCTGCCTTTCTGTTTGTCTGTGGCTCCTCCTTGGCCCTCCCGAGTCGTTCACTCTCCGAGAGTGAGCGAACGCTGTCGAATATGATTATTGTTTATGCAACGTGACTGTTTATGGAACTCTGGATATGTCACTCGGGAACGCGTTCAATTGTGCAGTGACGCAAGCCGACCGCGATAACAACGCAGCGTTACGACCTTGGATGGCTTTAAAGTTTCGTGTGTTTTTTTTGGAGAGCCTTTACCTTCAAAGAAGCCTTAAATTCGCATCGGGTCAGGCCTGTCCACGTAACCTTCAGACGCTTATCTAAGAGATAAGAGCTGCAGAGTTGGCCATACTTAAGACAACCAGCGAACTGCCCTCTAACAAGAGTCCATAACGAACAAAATGCATTAGATATTACACTTGGCAAATAACGTGTGTTTGTGCAGACTTCCCATTTACACGCGCGTTCCCAAATCAGGAAGCGATAAGCGCACAAACGCATGCACAACAAAATAGTTCGTTGCGTTACGCCGAGGCTCCGTCCCGACCCGCGCGGTCCCTCCCGCCGGCCCAACAATGTCGCACCTCGACCGCGGGCGTCCAGGAAAGAGCGGGGGGTGGGGGGGCCCGCGAAGCCGGTCTAGGCCTCAGACGCTAGAAGGGCTAATTCCGAGCGGGGATTGGGGGGAACTCACCAAGTAGAGCGGCGTGTAAATTCGCACGGCCTCGTCGAAGGCGCCCCAGCTGACCTGACGAAAAGCGGTGACACAAGAAGGGTCCCACGTGTGGCCAATTTCGTAGCAGTTGTGCGGTATGGACTTGCTGAGCGCCGCCATGTTGGCAAGGGATGCCCGGTCACAGCCGGGTCTGCGGGCGTCCCTAACTCAACGAAGTGGAGTGGGGGGGTTGAAATTTTTACGTACAACAAATATATTTATTAAAGTGCTTAGAACACGCTAAAAATCAATAACGTGCTAACAGTACCTCTATTAATATTTAAGTAAGTTGTCTAAATTAATGTAGTGTCAGAATAACGTTATTTAGAGCGATATCGATATGCACTGCTTTGCTAGCAACACCCCCCGATTGCCATGTGCTGGAGTTGGTAGCGTCCGTCGTGAGGACTTGCCAAAAGTGGTGGCGCGAGCCGCAGAGGCGGCTTCTGATTGGTCCGCGCCAGTGGGTTTGAGTCTTCTGCAATGCACTGAAGCCCCCCCCCCCTACCTGCCATAGGGCAACACGAGCAGTTACCCTATGCCCTGGAGCAGCGGTCGGGAACCTATGGCTCGCGAGCCATATATGGCTCTTCCGGTGACGGCATATGGCTCCCAGACAAATTTGAGTTGAAAAAAATAATAATAAAAAAATAAAAATAAAATCAGTTTGGAACTGATTTTAAAATACTTGTGATATTGCTTAATAATACTGTGTCAGTTTTAAAGTAAACAGAAATTAGTTTCGAAGATAACATTTCTCGGGTCACGGATCCCGTGACCAGAAGTCGCATTAAAAGTAAGACATATTTAATTTATTATACGTTAAAAATACTATATGGCTCTCAATGAAATATATTTAGAAATATTTGGCTTTTATGGCTCTCCCAGTCAAAAAGGTTCCCGACACCTGCCCTGGAGCATGGGACTTTGTGGGATGAACGTTGAGATGTATAAGGGCACGGGGGGTCTGAATTGGTTGACAGGTATGAGTTATGCAATTACAACCACAGCCGCCATTCGCCACGAAGTGCCGATGACGTCAGTACAGCGGTTGTGCCAGGCTAGGTGCACACACACACAAAAAAACGTTGAGGCCACGTGAAGTGTCAAAGGCACGGGACAGATCCAGGCACATGTATGTAGAACTTATTTCGGACCGTACATAGGCAACCGTGCCAATCGGAGGTAACATGGGTTGACTTGAGATGACTGGCAGATGCACCACCTGTGCTCCCCACTGCCAGCTTACGTAAGTTGGCAGTTTTGTGGGTGTCGCTCCTCTGCCCTCTGCTCTTGCAAATCCGCCAACTACCCAGCAGCCTCAATATGCACCGAGCCTGGCACTGCCCAGTAGCATGCTTCACGTGCCTCCTGCACAGAGGCCGATCTTGACACCGCAAGGTAGCAGTCATCGGTAAGTCTACACATACCCTGACGCCTGCTGTATATTTGGAGTTTGCACGTTCTCCCCGTGGTCGCGTGGATTTTTCTCCAGGTTCTCCGGGTTTTCCCTCCACATTTAGAAACATGTGTTTAGCGTATTTGGCTGCTATAATTTTCCACGTGATAAGCCACTTCGTTGAGCTATCATTTGTGGCCAGGTGGCTTCTGAAAAGAGCTGTATAGCTCAGTGGGCCTTACCTGTTAAAATAACACGTTTCGTTTTAGTTTAGTTCCACATCCTTCTGTACCACATCGGACCAAACAAAAGCTGCTTGGGCATGCGCATCCTTATGTCTATGGAACTCCTTTCGCACCGTACGTAGCCAACCGTAATAATTGGAGGTGTGGGGGAAGGACAATAAAAATCACACAAATATCAGTTCTAAAGAAATGAGCTTTTCGATCTAGTTTTAAAAGTGCGTCAATACAGTTGTGGGTTTTGGGTTAAAAGTTATCGGACTCAGTCGTGGTCAGATGCAGACCTCAGAATTAGAATTGTCTTTCTTGTGGAGTATTCTTTAATAGAGAGTGTGAGTGTAATACACGATCGCCTTACTGTTGTTGTTAAGTCTACATGTACAGAACACAATTTCCAGATACCTGTGTGTTTTCATGGTTCTACGTAAGTGAATGTGTGCAGAAGCGGTGCATGGTGGTCACCCATGCAGTGCAGTTCAGTTTATTTCGAAGTACCCTGTGAGCTAAGAAGCTCTTGAATCGGGTTTCATCAATGAAAGCATCGGTTCCCTGGGAAGCAACACAACATGACAGGTCGCCACTTGTTTTCTACATAATTGAGAGAACAAATCACGTAATTTTTTTTGCTGTGGTTTTCACATCTGATGATGATTGATTGTGTTGCAATCGAAACTTCGTGAGAATTTAATTGTTTTATTTTTATTATTTTATTATTTCCCTTCTAACCTGACTTTACCGAAAGAACCAAGAATATAAATCACATAATGTTGAGAATATTACAAAGTATCTTTCAAATATTTAACTAAAGTGAGGATTATGATTAAAGAACGTATTGCAAATAAGGCATAACAAGGCAATACAAGCGCCATGCAGGCTCAATGTCTGCTTAGCTTCCAAGATCTTACAAGATCTGACACATCCCGTGTGATTTGCCCACAGGCGTGTACAGTACACTGGTGTTCTTTATACATTTCTCAAACAAAAATTATTCCATCCATGGCATCCTTTTCGTCAGCGGAAGACCGTTGATTTTTTTAGCGTTTAACTTTTTTGTTACTCTTTGGTTCTTTCGGTAAAGTCACGTAGAAAGAAAATAAATTAAATAATAGAATACGACGTTTCGATTGCAACACAAGCAATCGTCATCAGGTAGAACTAAATTTGAGAGAGAGACAAAACACAGACACGGAGACACACAGACCGACACACAAGCAGAGAAAGACAACACAGAGACACACAGAGAGAGAGACACACAACATAGACACACAGAGACCCAATGCCTCTGTGTCGAGGCCTTAAATAGAGAGAGAGGGGGTGGGGCAGAGAGCGAGGTGGGTCTGCGGGAGCAGAGAAATTAGCATGTCAATGAGAGAGTTGTGTGGAAATCCACCCCGCGGCGGCTGGTGGAGAGAAAGACCCAACAAGCCTGGTAAATTTATAGATAATTGTGTGGAAATCCACCCCGAAGCGGCCGGGGGAGAGAAAGAGCGAATAGACATGTGAGAGCCTGGTAATCATATGGATACATGTTTGGTTGCCAAAGCCTGCCGTGTTAAACTGACGGCTGTAGAGTTTTTGAGTGGCAAAACCCGTATGTATGTAGAACTTCTCTCGGGCTAGCAGGCAAGGCTGCGTTTGCCTGGGTCACGAAGCCCCCATGCCCAACCACCGCATGCCCAAGCAGCTTCTGTTTGGCCGCATAGAGGGGGCTAAACGGGTACGACACGGGCTGGGGAAGAGATGGAGCTGATGCGGTACGGGAGGATGTGGAGCTGAGTGGACTTGTCGAAGACCTCTGTGGAGGAGGCTCGTGAAGGAAGCTACTGGGCAGTTGGCGGCAGTTGCCTTCCAACAACAACGGAGGGCAAGAGGAGCGATGCTCAGAACAATGAGCGGAGCACCGGGTGGCTAAAATGAAGCAAGTTGGCGCAGTAGGAGGTACGGTTGGTGCATCTGCCAGTCATCTCAGTCATGGCACCTGCCGGGTCTGTCAGCGATCCGTCGACACTTCACGTGGTCTCAAAGTGCACCTGGCCTGGCACAAGCGCCATGGTGACGTCACCGTCACTTCGTGGCGAACAGCGGGTATTGGCATGTAGAACTTCTTTCGCACTGCACGTAGCCAACCACGCGCTAAACAGAGGTTGCGGCCCTTGGCGGTGTCCTGTTGTGTGCGCACGTCGCACTCGTTACACACAAAGTGCTCGCGACAAATGAACCACAATACCTCGCTGATCTCGTCAAGGCGCATAAACCATCAAACACGCGAACTCCGGTCATCCTCGCAGCAGCAGCAGCGGCTTTTTGGCTGGCCATCGAACAAAGACGGTCACCGCATCGCCGCACACTTTCGGATGTGCCGTCTGGAATGTTCTTCCCTCCGATATTAGGAACTCACTGGGAGCTATGCGCTTTTAAATCTAGATTGAAAACTCATTTCTTCAAAACTGCTTTTTGCATGTAGCTTGTTGCTCTTCCCCCCCCCCGCACCTCCGATTAGCACGGTTGGCTCCGTACAATACGAAAGAAGTGCTGAAACCATCTCACGCCATAGTCCTGTGCGCCTGCCCAGAGTATGTCACTTTCTCTTGCCAGAGCTGCCCACTCATTGAAGTTGATGTTAAAGTATTTTTGGTCATGCTTGCAGATGTTGCTGAATTGTAGTTTTGGGGCAAACTACAATTCTCTTGGCTACAGTCCTATAAAATAAATTATAGTACTGTATATTCACACATATGTTGTAAATTAAGCACACATAGAACCTTACATTTAGAGTTTTTTTTTTTTTACAAACTCGGGGCAATTGGAAATGGAGTTCAAAGTTCAGCCCTGGGACCAGCTCAGGAAATGAATGCTGATTGTGTTGATGCTGTTGCTGCCATTTATGGGGTTTTTGGCGCCACAATTTATGAGCCCGGCTGTAAAGCAACCACTAAATGTCATAACCCCTTATAAAACGTTACAAACCCCCTCGCCACGGCTGGCAAATGCTGTATATAGCAGAGGAACAGAAGTGACACGAAGAATGACGAAAATGCAATTGTAATGCCATTTAAAGTAAGTGGTAACATTCACGTCCAAGATGTACTGATGTAGATACTCCATGTGGTGTTAAGACAGGCTGAATTAATATAAAAAAAATGTCGCAGAACATTATGGCCAAATTTGAAAAGCTGAACAGAAGTTGTGTACACTATAAACAGAGTAACGAGGTGATGTAGGGCTAGACGACACATCGTAGCCTGGCTCAAGTTAGGTTAACACGAGTAATATAAGTTTCAAGTTACTGCTGGTGTATTAACCTTAAAGATACACAGTGGATGTTATATTATACCGTGACGTCATGCGCAAGAGTTGGCCATTGTGTATCGGCGGCTTCATGGTCCAAATTGACCAAATAAAAAAAAATCTCCTGCAAATTACTGAATTGTAATAGACATGGCAATCATCGCTCCCTTTTTGTGAAAGCGTCGCATGATGCTCCTGAAAGAGAGTCACGTGAC